GACCGGCTGCCCTTTCTGGTCGCTTTATTTCCCTGACTTTCTGCCTCCGTTGAGGCGCCTGGGCAGCTTGTGCCTCCCCTCAGCTCGGTGGTGCTAAAGCGTGTGTAGTTAGGGCTGCGTGTGGGTGTTCCTCAGTTGAGGAAAATTACCCAATCCACAGGTTTGGTTTGGTTTTAGTGGCTTTAAGTAGTGCGTTTTTTCATGAAACCCATGTGTCTGTAAGTCGAAGGCTCCTATTGCATGTGTGCTTCTTCAGGGTCCTGCTTGACACACAAATCAGTAGTTCACAACATTTGTGTGTTTTCTATGTAAATAAATTTTATCCTGTGTCAAATAGAGCAGATCTTTGGGAGATAAGATTTCATTATGTATGACTTAACAGTTATTTTAACTAGGAAGAGTATCCAAATAAAAGTTTTCGAGGTGTTAAAATGGAACTTGAGGCATCAACGTTTTGGACAGTCATTAGTATTTGAGCATTTTTAAAGAATTCAGCTGCTTACAAATAAAATTGTACTTATACCCTGTAAATGGAAGTGAATCTGCAGCGTACTGGAAACAGCTCTAAAGGAGATGAGTGGTATGTTTTCTTAATACTTCAGGAGTCAAAGCAGTGCAAAGTTCAGTGGTAAACCAGGAAGATCTATATTGATACACGTAAATAATACTAAATAAATTTCTTGGAAGGCAGCAATTGCTGGAGGCCCTATGGAAAAAAATGTCACCCTTGCAGGAGAAGACTGCAAAGTTACAAACACCACAAACACCAGACAGTATCTTACTAAATTAAAAAAAATCATAATGTCCTGGTAAATTATGGAAGAATCTGAATGGAAGATGTACTGAACCTTAGGTATTACAGTAAAGTGTAGCCAGGAGCCTTAAAGGTCTAAAAAGCAAGTTGTAGTGCTGAGTATTTTGGAAGATTGCCTTCCAAGGTCACTTGAATCATGAGGCAGGAGGTCTCACTGTCCTGCATTCAAACTTTCAGTACATTGAAATTAATTTTGTAGGTTGATGAAATCCTGTGCTGGGCCTAGATATGTTCTTGGAAAGGTTGATTTTCAAGTGGGGGGAAGTGGGGATGGCCGAAGGGTGTGACTTTTCCGTAGGTGGACGATGCAAGAGAGAAATCCTTGTAGTTCTCTGGGTATGAAAAGTTGAGCATCGGTGTTCTGGGGTACATGCTGAATGTGCTGACTGTGAGGAAGACCCTTCTGCAGGTGTTCAGCACCAGACTCCCGTTTTTTCCCATCAGTCCTTTTGGAGTGTGCAACTGCTACGTGCCTGCATTTCCTATAGGAGAAATGGGGATTGTGCAGCCTTCTCACCTCCTGATGCTGAGTGCGTGCGTATGGAGAGCAGAGCTCATGGAGGACACCACAGAGAAGCATCCCAGGGATTGACCTGACCGTAGCTTGGGTGTATGTACTGGGGTGCATCAAACACAGCGTAATCAAACAGTCAAAACAGGTGATTATCCTGCTGTGTGCAGCCTTGCTGCAGCCTCACCTGGAGCAGTGTGTGCAGCTCTGGGACCCACAGTTTAAGAAGGATGTGAAAGTACTCAGATGTGTCCAGATGAGGGCAACAAAGCTGGTGAAAGTTTTGAAGGAATGTCCTGTGAGGAGCAGCTGAGGACTTGGAGCTTGTCTAGTTTGGAAGGAAGAAGGCTGAGGGGCGACCTCATTGCTCTCTACAGCTTCCTGAGGTGATGAGGATCCAGGGGCAGGACACGTGGGGATTGTTCAGTACTGCATCAGAGGAGGTTTAGACTTGGACGTTAGGAAGCATTTCAAACACTGCAACAGGCTTCCTAGAGAGGTGGTCAATGCCCCAAGCCTGTCAGAGTTTAAGAGTCATTTGGCCCTTAACAACATGCTTTAACTTGGTGAGCCCTCAGCTGATCAGGCAGTTGGACTAGATGGTCTTTGTAGGTCCCTTCCAATGGAGATAGTCTATTCTATTCTACCTATGCCTGCTAAGATTAGGGGAATTAAATGAGGCCAGGTTTGTAGGAAGATCCAGTGTATTTTGTTACATTAATTCACATATGTGGGAAAAATAACCGTGTTTTGGTTGGTTTTTTTTGCACAACAACCAACATAAAAGCCTACATAAACCCAAGAGCTTGTAGTTCATGAGGAAAATGGTCTTTGCATTACTGTGTATTAGAACATTGTTGGCATTTGCATGGGAGTAGGTGTTTGTTGTGATTAGTAGTAGACATGTTAATGTTCACTTTGGAAAGGGCAATGTTAAAAATGCAGATGAGAGGTGAGGTTCATTGCACGTTCTTAGGAGAGGAATGGAAGAAAATAAAAGAGGGAGCCTGAAGGATGCGGAGATACTGAAAGGAGACAGCAGAGGGCTAACAAGTTGAATAGGGGTATACAGCGCAGGATCTACAAGATGAAGTTGAGGGGGCTGGGCAGTGTGGTAAGAGAAAGCAAAGGGACACTCTAATAGTGGCCTATAGTTACTTGAAGAATAGCCTCAAAAGTATCGGAACCATTTTTTTCTTGGTAGTAGCAGGTGGTAGTGGTGAGGTATTAAGAAAACCTTTTCCATTAGGGGGTGAGCACAGCCATGCAACAGGTTGCCTAGAGAGTTCATGGGCCACTTGTTCATCTTAAAAGCCACAGGTGTTACAACCTAGTGTTGGTGATAGCTCTGTGTGGAGCAGAAAGCTGGACTAGTTAATCACCATAGCTCCCCTGTCAACAACGTTTCTGCAAGTCTGATATACGATGTAGAGTAACCTATGATCAAGTATTGGAGAGGTATGTATCTACAAGAGTAACCCATGGAATGGAGGGTGTGATCAAGTATCGGAGAGGTATGTATCTACAAATGACCAGGAGGATGAGAAACTGAAGCCTACCTGAAGTCTACCTGAGAAACTTTATACCTACCCAGAACGCCAGGAAGGCATAAACATGGAACATGGTGGTAAGGCAGAGGCAGCATTAGGGGACTGAAATACTAAGAAATGGTAACAGGAAAGCAGGATTTTGGAGGATAGTAGCAAGGATGAGCAAGGGAATAGGATAATTCTGTATGGTGGAAGAGAAGGATGCTCCTGCCTGGGGACAGTTTCTGAAGCAGCTGAGCAGGAGCTGGGAAATGGGAGCACTGGGAATCGTGGTCAGGCAGGGAGGCGAGTGCCAGTTGTTGGCTGCATTTGAAGAGAAGTATTTTGAGCAGAAGACTGTGAAGCAAGCCATGTGTGCAAGCCGTGAGCTGCTTTGTGGGCATACCCAGTGTTTGGGGGTTGGTGGAGCGAGGCGGGAGCGACGGGCAGGCTTGTTGGGGCGGGGCGGGGCGGGGCGGTG